GTTTCATTAAAATTTGTCCAGGGGCTAATGGGATATTTGGTAACAGACAGATTCACAACACTTACTGTACACACAATACTGGCACAAATATTATTACCGGCCTTTGTCTTTCAGTGGCGGCTGATAATAAGATTAATGTTGTGACTGATTCATTCATTATATTTGGCTGTAATTCCAAAACGCAGAGCAGTGAAATGGTTTAACTCACACGTCGCATGGGATTGGTTACAGCGAAACACACCTGTTGGATAAAAATGTCCTCTATTTATTTTACTTACAGTACTCAAATATGCCACACTCAAGGACACAAGAAAAGTCTTTTTACTTGCAAGGACAGATTTTCACAACAGGTTACACAGATGTAAAAAACAAACCTTGACCCCTCAGTCGTTTCCAACTTCCGGCCTGTCTCCAAACTCCCATTTGTTTCTAAAGTACTGGAGGAAATAGTCGAGTCCCAGTTGAAGTGCTTCCTGGAGGATCACACCATCTTAGAGCTATTCCAATCTGGCTTTAAACCTCTCCACAGCATTGAAACTGCCCTATTGAAGGTTTTTAACGACATCTTCAGATCCACAGATACTGGTGATTCTGTGCTGCTTGTCCTGTTGGACCTCACAGGCACCTTTGACACCATCGACCATGCGATCCTCATTGCTAGGTTGGAGCAGTGGGTGGGCATCACAGGATCAACCCTCAATTGTTTCAGATCCTACCTCACTGACAGATCCTTTTGTGTCTCCATCAAGGATTTTAGTTCTGCAGCGGCAGAGCTTAAATGGGGGGTTCCGCAGGGGTCCATCCTGGGTCCCCTCCTATTCTCTTTATACCTGCTGCCACTTGGTGCTATTTTCCGGAAACACAACATGCCCTTTCATTTCCATGCTGATGACTGTCAAATTTACTTCCCCCTAAGACACAATGGTACATGCTCTATTCAACCTCTGCTCAACTGCCTGGCTGACATCAGGGACTGGATGGCTTTAAATTTCTTAAGTTTCAATGAAAAGAAGTCTGAAGTCATGTTATTCCCTCCCAACGACACGATCACAAACTACTGTATCGACCTCTCTGCTCTAACCCTGTCAGAAAAACAAAGAGTCACTAATCTGGAAGTGATAATGGACCCTTCCCTGAAACTTAACAATCATGTAAACATGATTGTTAAATCATGTTTCTTCCAACTGAGGCGGCTGTCTAAACTGAAGCCCATACTGTCCAAAAATAACCTAGAGACAGTAATACATGCATTCATTACATCCAGGCTTGATTACTGCAATTCACTCCTGTTTGGTATCAGTCAGACCTCCATTGCACAACTACAACTGGTCCAGAATGCAGCAGCCCGATTTTTAACCAGTACAGGCAAAAGAGAGCACATTACACCAGTTTTGGCCTCACGGCACTGGTTACATGTTCACCTTCAAATCCATTTCAAAATACTCATGTATGTCTACAAATCGCTGAACAGTTTCGCCCCCCACCCCACCCCCA